ATAAATAAATAAAATTAATTATTTAAATAGTATATAAAATTATATTAAAAAATAAAAAAAAAATATCTTTCAATCATTTTTATATATATATAAAACTTAATAGCTAAAGAGCATTAAAAAGGCAGTCACTTACAAGCAGTGTTGTTTTTACTTGTGTCAGTAGACGGTATGTGGACCAAAATTGCAAGCAGAAAACCAAGTTTACGTCCGGTTGATCATTACCCAAATCCACAACAAAATTCTGTTTGGAAACATTAAAAAACCAAGCGAAAATAATAATATAATTAATAAATAAAAATAAAGACCCAGTTCTTCAACCCTCATCCTTGAATAAGGTTGGTGAGCAGAAATATGTTTATATTATCTCTATAAGTCTCCCATAGATAAATGATACCATCCTTGTTAAGTTCCAAAAATGATACATGCTGTTGAAGAACAGACATTCCATTCTTTTCACATCCATATGTTTTTTTTTTTTTTGACAAATAAATAAATAAAAATATTTCAACCAAATTATTCCTGGTTGGACAAAAAACCCTGATTATTCTTGTGTAAAACAGTATTGACAAGCACAACTTTCAGTAATCTCATTGTGAACTTTGGGATTTACTGAAAGTAACATCAGCTAAAAGATCTGAAATATAAGTGTGGAGATGGGAGTAGAAAGCTCCCACTCTCTACATAGTGCTGGTAACGTTGAAACAAGAAACGGACTTAGAAGATATTAACTCAGTCATGAATGCTAATGAAATAAAACGTAACTCAACAGTCAAATCCACAACCTAGTAACATTCATGCAAACTTAAAAAGAAAGATAAGGACAAAGAAATGGTGCTTGCCAAGATATTCAAAATAATTTTGAAACAAATGATATGGACAATTGGCAATTACAGTATGAGACAAGTGGAATGTTAAACATAGAAAGGGGAAAGGGACAAGGGGCAAAAAGCCAAGCACCAAAGATAGTCTTTGAGGTGTTCAATTATATATGCAAAGGCACAGGGCAATGCATATGTTCTTCTGTTTTTTAATAAATATATAACAATTGAATTCCTAATCCAAGTTTCTCTATCTCTCAGTTAAACGGGCTGCAATGATCCTTGAAGGCAGTTGAACAAAAGACCATACTTCCCCTTTCACACTCTAGGAATGTGTCAAGTTCCTTTGAGCCAAGACCGATTGGCAATATGTTCTTTAAGTAAAGATATGAAATTAGTTGTAGATATAGAATAGAATTCCAAGCAAACCATGAGAAAGAAACCTTCTTTACAATGATGCTCCTTCTCCCACAGTAAATGAAAATGGGAAAACTTGAACTTCACTACATAGGAAGTGAGAGTGATGCTTTACTTACAAAGCCTTTTGAGTACAGCTCCAAAAAACTGGAGCAAATGATTAAGGGAGAGATCAGCTTCAATTGTTATCACTGCTGAATCACTAGCAGTGTAAACTTAGAATGATCAAACATCAAATACTTTCTCTTAATCGTAGCTGCATTGAAATTTACCGTTTTTGTATTAGATGTATAAGATATTCTCTAGCTCAAGAACAGTAGTGCAGTACATGCACTCTTCAATGGAGAAACAGAGTCACTATAAATCAACACCACAATTCACACATCTACAAACGTGAAAAATTACTTTAAAATCTTAAATCTAAACTAAGAACAAGATAATTTCAAGCATCACTTCCACTAATTATCATCATCGAAAACAGACCAGATCTATTGATAAACGACACAATCAGCTAAAATTGAACGCGAAAACATCACAAAACCTTAAAGAGGAGCTTCCGAGAGGTCTGCTTCCCGGAACGCATTCCCGAGTCGGACTCGTCGCTGTAGCTGTACCAACGCATTGATCTCTGCGCCTCCTGAACAATCTGTGAGATACCTGAACTCGAAACAACAATACCAAAAAAAAAAAAAAAAGTCAATATAAGAAACGAAATCAAGCATTAATAAAGCCATAGAGATTTATGGAGTATAGATGCTTGCCTTGCTGAACGGTTTGTTTGTTGTGGCGGATGTCGTGGATGGTGGCGGAGATTTTCCAGTAGAGAGGGCGGCCGACGTAGAAGAGGAAGAGGAGGAGCAGAACGACCAACACTATGCGGAATGTAATCGTGGCCGTTGAAGACGCCATTGATGGAGTTGATCGATCGCCGGTTCTTTTTCCGTCGGTTTTGAGTACAGAAATTCGGCTTTTTCCGGAAGAGAGAGAAAAAAGGAATGAAGACGCAGAGGAGGAAGACGATCCGCCTTTGCAGCGCCGCCACGTGGACACCTGAAGATCCCCCAGAGATGATGCGGGCTGTGCTAGGGCTTTTGGGTTTCGGCCCCGTTCCATTGGACCTAAAAAATCCCAGTTCAATTGGGCTTTTTTTTTTTGGACCTGTTATCACTTTGGTTAATAAAGATTATTTTCTTTCAAATTGGTGTAGAAACTTTAACATGGTATCAAAATAGTCTATTAGTCAAAATTCCACTAGAGTTTCTAACAAAATTTCAAGAAAAAAACACCACGTAAACCCAACAAAATTATATCTTAGTTTTTAGTCAATCTCAAATTCTTTTTTTTTAACTTTTTTTTATTATGGATAATTGATAATGTTTATTTCAATCTTTTAATAATTGCTTTTAATAATTAAATTATAATTTTCTTGAGTTAAGAGGTGAGCATGCGATATTTTTATTACCTTTCTTCAATGCTAAAATGGTGTTGAAGTTGGTCTAATTTCTGTTCTCTTACCTCTGTTTGTGCTCTATATATTGGTTTGGAAAGTTACAACTTACAACTAACAAATCCTTAATTCATCAGATCTAATATTTCTCATTTGTGTAAATACTGTAAGTACTAAGGCCTGTTTGTCGATATATAAAATTTTAGTTCAAAAATATTGATGGCAATTTGAATATTCTTTTTTTTTTTCATTCTCCAATGATTTGTGAATTTCCCTCCCAATTGTTTGTGTTAATTTGTAATATTTCTTCTTTTTTTTTCTCCATAAAACCTAACCCCACCTTTCAAATATCCATGCAAACCATTTTCCACTTTTTCCCCAAATAAATAAGAATTAAGAGTTGTGAACCGAAATATCATAGGCTTCATAACTCAATAGTAATCTATTTTCCAAAGTTAAGAGTTATTACTTTGAGCATTTTGCAATTCATAAATCTTCAATTAACTGGCAAAATCAATTTATAAGCTCCCCCTCGTTAAGAGAGCCATTTTACAAAGCAATGCAGAACTTAAAACACAGCAGCTAATACATGGGAAAAACAAACTTCTTATCCTAGTTATCCTACACTGACACAAACAAAGCCAAGCATTTACTTCATCTTTCCCAGGAGTAATTTCTAGCATATGTGTTGTACCAATGCAGCACGGAGTACTGGTACAAAACATATGGATGTGCCTGCTATTCTTGTTGTGTCATGACTGGAACTTTCTCTGGTATCCAAGATCTTCTCCAGAAATTGTTTATTGGATATCTGTTGATTTTCCCTCCTATAGCTTCCTCTATGAGTTGATGGATGCTTCGATTTCTTCCAGTGTCTTTCCTTTTGTTTCTGGGACGAACTTTGCTACAAATAGAATGGTCAAAAGAGAGAATGCAGAGTAGACATAAAAGGTACCTGCAATAGAAAATGTCAAAGGGTTATAAAAGCTATATGTTAAACAAGCCAAGCTGGTAATTAGTCAAGGATTTTGGATTTACCTGAGGAACTCCAGTTTATGAGGAAGTTGAAAGTAAATGAAACTATCCAAGCTCCTAACCAGCACACCAGGACCACCAGGCTACCGGCAACTCCCTTAACATTTATTGGGAAAATCTGCCAGCAAAAAGACAATGTTTCAGTTGGTTTACCATCCCATTTCAGCCATATATCCAAATATGGGTACATGAAGAGGTTGCTCATTGCTATGCTTACCTCAGACATTATCACCCAAGGAATTGCTCCCATTCCAATTGAGAAAGATGCTATGTAAAACTGTTTGGATTGACAAAAGATGAAAGATTAGACCAAAGGGCATCCTAAGTTACATAAACAGAATCAGACTGTAATGTGTTAAATGGGGATTTCGTACTCATGCAATTCTACTTACCAGTACTCCACCAATAGCTAATACTGGTACCCATCCAAGCAACAAATCATGGGCCTAATAAACAAAGCATGTTAGTTTAGGCATCGAAAGGAGAAACAAAAACAAAAGGTTTTGGACACAGTCAGAATTCATATGACTTACCTTGAGATAGAAGGAAGTGCCTGCCATGAAGCAGCCAAGAAATGTCCCAGCTGCAGAAACCATCATGAGTGGTCTTCTTCCAGACTTATCAATTAACATTGCTCCTATAACAGTTATGGGAACTTGAATGCAAGCATAAGCTATGGTTCCAATTTTGCCTGCTGAAGGTCCTGCAGAATTGTTGTAGAGTTAGGCATCAGTAGTTTTGGAGTCTAATGACAAAAGGAGCATATCAAATAGTTCCTTTTATAGAATGAATTGGTATTTACCTACTGATGCAAAAGTTTCACTTGCATAGAAACCTATTCCATTAATGCCTCCAAATTGTTGGAACACCATTAATCCCACTCCAATCTGAACATCATAACCCAGTTCGTTGAAAATCAATAAAACATGAAGAGTTTTATCTGTAATCACATAAAACATGCAGTTTTAGTTCCTCAGATGTTATTAAGTAACTTACAATCACAGAGCGGATATATTTTTGTTGAAACAATTCCAATATTTTAGCTTTTGGAAGGCTTTCAAGAGTTTCAATGTATTCCTGTTTGAAACACAAAATTTGTCAGTACTAATTACACAGCAACTTAATATTAAGGGGCTTTTCTTGAATGTTGTACAGTTTACAGGAATTACTTGGATTTCAGCAGCTTCTTTAGTGATATCAGCATTTTCGCCACGAAGTTTTCGAAGGGCAATATGAAATTCATTGTAATGGCCAACCTTTGCCTGCATATAACAACCTTAGTGTCATCTCCTGCTTTTCTTTTCCACATTTACATAAAAGAGTAAATTTTCCTTCTGTTGAAATGCTTACCAGCCATCTGGGTGATTCAGGAACCAAAAAGAGTCCAATAAGCAAGAGAACACAGGGGATAAGTCCTTCAAATCAAAGGCAAAAGTTAGTCCTTCTGAACTTCAAGTAAATTCAAACAAAACTAGATATTAAAGAACTGAGATTTTACCAGTCAAAGCCAGTGCTCTCCATGATATCACTGATCCAATTAAGAATGCAGTAGATGAACCGGTAACAATCAAAAGCTGCAGGATAAAGAAAACAGAAGCAACCATGTCAATGATATTCACCATTTAACTTTCAAATACTGCTGGAATTTATACAGGACTTATGATTCTCCCAGGTCCCTACCTGATTCAATGTTGTGAGTCCTCCACGGAGATTCTTAGGAGCGATTTCAGCTATAAATATTGGAACCTGATTATCCAGTTTACAAAACTATGAGATTTATAACATTACTAGATGACACAATGCGGCAAGAAGCATAAGGCATTGGATATTGAACATACCACAAAAGAGAATACTCCAATTCCATATCCTGTTGAGAACCTTCCAACATCAAGTGACAGAGCCCCCTGCATCAAAACAAGCATAAGAGTGCGTACTTTTTCAACAAGAACAACCAATTTAATGCTGTTTCTGAAATTTCAGAGAACTCTGAACTGTTCACAAAGAGCTAACCTTAGAGAAATACACAGCAAACCATCCTGCAATGCAGAAGCAAGCCGCCATTCTCATAGCCTGCTTCCAAAACAAGATTAGTATTTTGGAGATGACCAAGTTTAGTAATTCTTTTGATTTTGCTCTATTTCAACTTAGAAATTTAACATACCCCTTTTCGACCAATCAAGTCTGCAATCCTACCACTTGTTACAGCACCAATCATTGCACCAATGGTTAATATAGAGCCAAACACAGAGAACTGGCATATGGTAACAAGTTAGCAGCAATTAAGATTAAAAAAAAAAACACACACACACACACACGCACATAGCAGTAATGGTGAAGGAGACAGAGAGAAAGAGAAGGCCAACCTCAGCAACAGACAGATTAAGATCTTCCCTGATAGCAGACTGAGTAGGTGCTGAATAGCCCACCTGCCAAAAGAATTACTTAAGCTAAACAAACCTTTTTTTTCTTTTTTGTTTTTCGTTTTCTAGTTTTTGGTTCCTAACCAAGAAAGAAAAACAAAACAAAACAAAAGAGAACAACATTTTAGTAACCAAGAACTTTGCCTAAATCAGGAGAGATGCCTCAAACTCACTTAAAAAATGAAAAATTTACAAAACAAGAAGAAAGACAGACAACAAAGTTTTTTTTTGACAAGATCTAAACACAAAACAAAAGGTGACTCTAGGAGAAGGAAATGAACTTACACAAGATCCAAATTCAAAGGAGCCACAAACAGCAACAAATGTGCAGAGCAAAACCATCCAAATGGATCCACTGTCAGCAGCAGCACCCTCATCGTTCTTTTCACACCCAACAACATTCTCTTCCTCTATCAATGGCCTCTCCAAATCCCCAAGGTCATTGATTTCCCCTCTCTCTACATCCTTAACTTGCCCAATTGCCATCTCTCTATGTGGTTTTTTTTTTTACCTCCACAACCCCTCCTCTGTTCTTTGAGTTGAAATATGAAATATGAAATATCTACCCAGAGGAAATGGGTATTTATACACAAAAATCATGGGAAAGGAGGATATTTATAAACCATGTCCAACAGTCCATGATTAAGTTAGAGAGGGTAAAAGAAAGAAAAGAACACAATAATGGAGACACATGGGAATGCTTGGGAAGGTAAAGTTGTCACGGCCATTGATTCCTAACAGGAACCCATCTTTAGTTTTCCAAGTTTCAGAGGATATAGATTTGGACTGGCAAATATCTGTTGGTGAGATCCATTGTCTAAATTTACATGTGGGTTACTCTGTTTACAAATGTTTTAATGATTATCCATCGTATGTGCTTGCGTGGCCCTTAGTCAGATGGCAGCTGGGGCTGCATATTGTCCATGTTCTTGGGATGCGTTTGAATTATTATTCTGCGTCCAGAGATAACCAGCCAGGATTATTTTACGAAGTAGTTAGTAGAAAACGTTGCGCGCTGTCAGAAAGCCAATAGCTAATGTTAAAAACATTAAATTACTCCTATTATCAAATTAAATTACTTATATATATATTTTAATAAGTTGTCAAGGAGTGGGCTTTCATAGGAAGAAAAAATTTATCTCAAACTGATAGACTGTCAATTGACCGAAAAATCAGGTGCAAATTACTTATATTATTAAATTTAAGATCTTATTAATTTTTATATTGAACATCAAATTTAAATTCAAATCTTATACTTTTAAATTTTAATAGGAAAAGTTCTTAACAAAAAAATGATAGTCATTAGGTCACCAAGATATTCTTAATTTAAAATCTTATTTATTTTAAAAATAATTTAAAAGTTTAATAAAAAATTTTAAAATAAATCGAAAAACTAAATATAAGATTTCTCCTAACAAAAAATGGTTGTACCAAATCAGAATTTTTCAATGTTACTATTCCCATGATTTTTATGTACTTTTTGACCCATACGTTTGATTTTTTTTTTTTTTCTAAGAATCACTTTCACCTTTTCTTTTTGAAAATGAGAAAAAAAAATTAATTCCACTAAACCAATAATGGTCTTTTATAGTATTTTTATAACAAAAAAATTATTATATAATTTAAAAAGTAACGAATTACATAATAATAACATTTAGATAAAAAAAAAAAACGCGTGCTTTTAACTTCGGGTCCTCTCCATCAAAGGGTTTTTCTATTGTGAAGTTAGTACAATGGATTGGGCAAAGACTGAAATCAATATGTCCAGTGTATTTCATTTTCTACCATAACTCACATTCCAATTCTGGAAATTTAACTGAAAGGTTTCCTTTTTCTTAGAAGACAACTCTTCTTTCTGGATAACGTTTACAAGTAATGTTGATGTGGATTGCTTGTCCTAAAATACCTTCCAATCCCAAATGCAAAATAAAATGAATAAAAATTTAAAAGAAAAATCCGTATATGTATGAACTCAAACAAATCATGCCAGGTCAGTCATTATACATCCCATTTCATTAGAACCAAATTCTGTGTTTTTGTGATTTTTTTTTGGTGGAAGTATTTTTGTGATTTTTTTTACCATAAAAACTTATGGTAAATGTTATTATAATATATAATATTAAATAAGTGATTGTTTATCCATTCATTATTTTTTAAAAAGTTATTATTAAAAATTATAGTAATGATATTAAA